TCACTCCTCAGCTTCTCTCTGATGCACATGTACACACACACGCACGCACACACACACGCATGCACGCACACACACGCACGCACGCACACACACACGCACATACATACAGGGGCCACCGCCCCATTGTATAACAGCGCAGAAGAATGACACATAACTGAGTTGACCTTTGTACCTCTGTCTGTGCAGTCACACCCTAACCTGATCTCACCAAAGCTCCGGGCTACACAGCAGCTCCTGTGTGTGTGTTTTTAGTGTGTGTGAGCGACGGAGAGAGAGAAAGAGAGAGAGAGAGAGAGAGAGAGCAAACAAACGAAAATGAGAGAGAGGCACCTTTCATCTCCTAATGCCTCTCATCAGTATGTCATCGCCATGTCTCGTCTTGTGTGCTTCTGCATTGAGCTGGCAGGCTGACAGCGTGGGAGTCAGCATGCTAACCTGTAAAAACTGTGCCCCAGTAAGATACTACATACTAATACTACAGTATGTACCATATATTAATCATGCTTTTTAGAAATTATATTAAAATCCAAAAAGCTACTGCCAATCAAACTAGACAGAGAGAAAGCACTTTTTTGTTTTCTGTCTCACCACCATCCATAAAATGTTATATTTGATCCAGTTGTGAGCATTACCAGCATACAACAAGTATACTTAAATATGAGAGTGCTTAGTTTTGTCATGTTTTAGTGTGACAGCAAACCTGGTAAGTCCTAGTTAGTATGTAGTATGGAATGTGACACAGCTCAAATCTCAACAGGTAGAGGTCAGAGTACATACCTACCTATCTGCGTAACAGCTTGTGGAATGGTGAACAAATAGTTTGTAACTAACAATAATCTTTATTATCAATTAAGATTTATTTTGTGATTAATTGCCGAATCATTTAGTCTATAAGTGTTGATTCTTCACACACTTTCCAAGAGCCAAAGGTAAAGTCTTTAAATAGACTGTTAGACTGACAAACAGTGCAAAACCCAAAGATATCCAAATTACAGTGACATAAAACAGAGGAAAGCAGGAAATCCTCAAAAACCTAAATTGTTCTGTTGAATAACTTGTTTTAGTACTCAAAATGAATGCTAACTGGGGACTGTAGGTAACGGCAGTGCTCAGATGTCACGTACACAATTCCCTCCAAGTCTCCCCCAGTGCAGAGAATCAAGACGTGTCTGGCACGTGCCGCCATCCCTCGCCTCTGTCTCATTTCCTTGCACGGCCCTTTTCTCTTCTTTCACTCTCTCTCTTTGACCCAGTCGTGTGGCGCTTTAGTAATCCGGTGAAAAAACACTGGCAGATGGCACTATGGAAGATTAGGAGCAGTCTTGCACATCTGTAATCGCCACACATACACACACCCACACGCACACACAACAGATTGATGAAATACACACCTGCAAACCTGCATCCCTGTTCCTACACCTTAATTTCCTCTTTCATGACCTAACTCTTTGTCCTTCTATAATCCCCTTTTTTGCATTTGTTCTATTTTTCTGGTGTTCCAATTTCAACAAAATGTGCCCGCTATGAATAAAATGCATTGTCATTTTTATCACCACCTCCCATCCTCTTGAAACGATTATCCAACTCTCTTTTCTCTGCAGAACATGAGTGCATATTTCACACTTTCAGCCCTCCCTCTTTCTCTCTCTCTCTCTCTCTATTCCCTTTTTGTTCATTATTCTATTCATATTCTTTCTCTAAAGCTTCTTCTGCTAAAACCAGAACATGAGGTCTGGAGGGTAACATCAAAAACAATTCATCCTGGCAGGCCTCATCAGAGCCGATGTGACGCATGACACAGCTACGCAGTTGGCATCAGCTAACATACCACCTAGCTACACACTAGCAGGCAGTGTTGTCTTTGGTTTGGCTGTGTGCTGCGGATTGGTGGGAAACACGCAAACTTTAGACCCACTGGGGAGGCAGCTGGCTCCAACCAAGCGATGTTCTTCTCTACAAAAAACACACACACGCAAACACACACAATCACACACAAAGTCAGTACTCTGAAAAAGGCAAGACACATCAGCCTGAGCTCCGACTGGGTGAGATCATTGCTGTGGTAAAAATAAGGCTTGTCCTCAGAGAGACATGTTTTGCACACTTTCACACAGTCGATGAGGTAATAACGCAAACATACACACGTGTACACAAACATACGCGCAAGCCACGCTGCGGACACATGTATTTACATGCACGCGCACACGTAAACATTTTCCAACTGCCACCACCACCACATCCTGTGTGAATATATATTTCAAACTAAACATAGTGTGAGAATCATTCGCTACCCAGATTACTAGTCTCATTCACAAAAAACAATGGTTCTATTGGGACATGGCTTGTTTCATGACATCATTCACATGTAGGAAGTGGTGTGGCTTCTGAGCCTGAGTTATTGATTATTTAGTCAATGGACCGAAACCTAAGAGGAGTCACCAATTGCTTTTAGATCAATACGCTCTTAGTACATGAGCTACGGTTGTATAACATGTCATTCAAGCAGCTTAACTGCCAAATATGTTCTGCAATTAATTCCCTGAGTTTAAGGAAAGTTTAAGTCATTAGAATTTAGCTTTAAAATATGAAAACATATACCCACTTTAGAGAAGTGTGTATCTGCGAGAGTGTGCCCTAATCTCCCTTTGGCAGGCTTCTGCATAAGTAACAGTTAAGGCAGAAAATCCTCTTCTCCCCTCAGACAGTAAGCTCAGTAATTATTCTTTTATTCACCCTGTCCATCCCATTTATGGATTCTTCTCTTTTCATCTCTCTATCTGACCCTCCCTCCCACTCACATTACCCCTCACTTGATTTGCAGCAATGTTACGGTGTGTACTGTGCGTGTGTGGCCTGCATACGCGAGGCTGAAAATAAGTCGTCAGTCAGATATGAAGTCATCGCAGGAATTATTAGCATCATAAATCAGAGGTTCAGTAGAGGGGCAGGGGGAGAGGTGGAAAAGAGTAAGGTAGGGGGAGGGGGAGGGCAGAGAATGAAGAGAGAGAAAGAGGGAGGATTACTGTTTGCAATTTTAAAGTACCTTGAATCTTTAAGAATGTGAGAGGGGGAGTAAAGCCAAGTAAAGCCAGGAATGAGGGGAAAGACAGAAGGAAAGGAAGGAAAAAAATGTGCCCGTGGTGACGTCTTCAAATACGTCTGCTTGTTTTGTCCAAACAATAGGCTAAAACCTAAATATATTCCATTTACAGTGATAGAGAACAGAGACAAGCAGCAAATTCTAAGATCTCAGAACCTGGAACCAGAGATTGTTTGATATTTTTGCATTTTAATTGTAGCCAAAACAGCCAAGCTGCCTCTGAAGCGGAGTTCACAAATTCTTAGTACCCCATTTAAGAAGACATACCCTCTTTTAGACCACATGGTTTGTTGATTGTAAAACAAGGACTGTACTAAAAACACATGATTAAAATAGTCTCCCCCATACATTTTCTAATTTGCATCACTTCTGGTTATTTAAATTGATCGAAGAAACACGGCTCAAAAACCACCAACATTTCCCCTTCTTGTATCTTAACGTCATCTCTGTCATGAAAAGTCTGCAGCTTCCTTGTAGACAAACAGATCCTGCAGCACTCATCCCCGTTATCATGCAGGCACGAATGCATGCATGCATGCATACGTGTACACGCAACACGCTCCCATCTGCCCACCCACCCATACGCACATGAGCATCAAGCATGCACAGACACAGGCTGCTAGCTCCACTGACCCCAATAATACAACCACCCAAACAACAGCCAACGCCATTGGCTGAGTCCTTCTGGGAAATATTCTCTGCCACTGTTGTCGTGGAAACAGCAGAAAAGCGGGGACAGAAATGGAAGAAGTGTGATTCCTCTTTTTTTTTCCTGAAGAAACGTAGCAAGAGAGAGCTGAGGAGACTGATAAAGAGGAGGGAATCGCTGACAAGGGGTCTTTCATTAAAAAGGGTATGATGTTTTAAAAAAAGCTGCAGAGGAAAATCCTGGCTTTTGGAGACAATCAGCGTGTCGTCATTACAGTGTGTGTGTGTGAGATATCGAAAATGGTTGTGTGTGTGTGTGTGTGTGTGTGCACAGTATATGCGGGTGTGCCCAGCCTAAGCATGTGCTCAGTACATCGCTGTGACTGTGACTAATTGTGGAGCCTGGGTGCTTTGAGGCAATCCTCAGCATCTATGAATGACTCATGAAAAAGCGCTAATCTCCCAGCGGAGGGAGAGAACTGAGAGGAGGAGGAGGAGGAGGAGGAGAAGAATGGGGATGTGGGGATGCAGAGAGGAGAGCAGAGATTTGCCCGAACAGCATGCCGCTGCCGTCTCATTTCCAATCCTGACTGAGGCAGATTACGTTCTCCTTTCTGTGCTGACACATTTGGGACGGATTCATAAGCCTCTGCTGGTGGATGGGTGTGTAATGCCGTCCCTTAAAAAAACTGCAGCCGCCGCAATCGAGATGTTATTAACTCAATGAGGCTATTAACAGTCTTGCTGGGGCTCAATTATAAGTCTTAGTGTGCTTAGTGGACACTATGACAGGATAATAACTGTGGTAAATAAGGCCAGTGGATTGAAGTTAAGCTTCAGCTTTATTTCAGTGATGCTTGGTAAGAAAACGACGCCAGGGAAGCTTAAACATCAAAGAGTCATCAGAGAGGCTTTGTATGCAGGCATCATGCTTTTATACTTCCTCCTCTCCCTTCTATCTCCACATATGCGTGTGAAAGTCTTACTGCCAGGTCAGAAATGAGGAACAACTAGTATAATGTGACTGAGGAGATAAAGCAGACTTGTGATCATCAGTGACATCTGCTGACCAAACTGTGTAATGACAAACTAGACTCAAATCAGGCAGGGAGGGGTGTGGTGAGGTACACCTGCCTGCTGCACAAAAGCAAGTGGGCATTAAATAGAGAAACAACACAAACATATAAAACACAGACAGAAAGAACAACAACACCACCGTCATCACACACACGTTCCACACGTTCTCACATACCGGTGAGCAGGGAGACTTTATGGAAGGTGCCCTCCAACTTTCCCATGAGAATGTGCATGAAGCCTTCTTTGGACAGATGCCCTGCCTCTTTGGAACTCTGGTCATAAACCACCACTTCCTGCTTCCTGCCCAGCTCCACCTGCACAAAGGATAAACAACAAGGAAGAGAGGAGAGATGATTTTCTGTGCTGCTGTGGAAAGTATGTCAATCATCCTGGACCAACAAGGATGAGTTAGTTAATATGACAGCACCTATTAGACAGGTACACTGCACAGTTTAAATGAGAATTCATTGCATTTCTTTACACACACACACACAAAGAGAGAGAGAGTGCAGTACTGTAAAGATGTATATTTATCAGACCTCTTGGCTGAGAAAACTAGTTCATTGCTACAAGACATTAAATACACATGAGCTGCTGCAGGGTTCGAGCCTGTAGCAGTCTGACCCTGGTATAGTTCCTCTGTAACACTGTATAACACTTGAGCACTCTGCTGCCCTAATATGCACCAGGAAGCAGCAGTGAGGAAAACCCACACCACTGGGAGTTATGACAATAAACATTGGCTTCATCAATGCAAGAGACTGCACCAGTAAGCAGGAAGAACTACAGGTGATTCTGGAGGTAGTTATGAGGATAAAGCATAGGGTTATGAATAATGCATTTGGGCTCAGTGTTGCTCTGTGCAACTGTGACTGCAATATTTACTGTGCAAATACTGCTGAGAGGGTAGTTGTTGTAATGGCAGGCGGTATCAGTAAAATCATAATAGCTGGATACACTGGGTGTGGGCATCCATCGATGTATCAGTGTGATGCTGTTTATATCAGATTGTGAGAAAGATGACAGGGTATGAGCATGCGCTGGTGTGATGCCTGTGTGTGCGTGAGAGAGTGTGAGCGTGTGCATGTGTCTGCACACACAGCAGCAACACTGTGTTGTTCCCCATGTTGTCAGGCAGGCTTTGGTCACATGACCATCAGGCAGCGCCTACTGCAGCTATGAATCACTGCATCATTGAACCGCCACTGGACAGGAGAGGAGAGAGGGAGGAGGGAAGAGGGCGAGCGGAAGGGAGGGATAAAGAGGGTGGGGGTAGCGGAGTAGCGGGACGGGGAAAGATGGAGACGAGATGAAGAAAGATGCAAGAGGAAAATAAAGAGGAAAAAAAGGGGGGGCAGGCGGTGGAGGAGGAACGGGGGATGGAGAGGGACGAGGATGAGACAGGACAACCCAGTGCAACGCTTCCTTGTTTACATTAACATACACTGAGACATCCTCATTAAAAATGTGCTACTGAATAGCTGCTAGCTCCCAGGCAAACTGAACTAAGTGTGCCACCCATCTCTTCTTCACTCCCTGTATGCTGAAAGGCACACTGGTGGTGATAGCTCATGGTACAAACAGCTCCACAGTGTGCAAAGAGTGTGCCTGATTATGTTTCTGCCTACAGAGCAGCTGTAGCAGAGTGCCTGGGCAGACAGCCATGCAGGTGATTTAGACAGGACAAGGTCAGTCTCTGAAGTCTCGTTAAAGTAACTCTGGTCCAATAAGACCCGGCTTGGCTCTGCCTGCCTGCATCCAGCATCAGTACTGACATAAAAGTAGTGCTGGGTGATGTGAACAAAAATTTTTATCATGGTATTTTGTAAGACTCTGGTGCTTTAACAATATATCAAGGTTTCTTTATTATTTTTTTGCAACACTAGGCCTTTATATAGGTTTATAGTTACATAGTAACTATATAGTCAGTAGTACATAAAATATAGACATTTTAATGTAATCATGTATATACTGAAGGCTTTGATTACTATGGATTTTCTTAGCCCCACATAATGATTTTAGTTTTTTTATTGTGCAAACTGCAACATAGTAAAAAAAAAATTTAAATAAAAAAGATATGCCAGCATCTTTAGCATTGCTACCTTTTCAAAACAAAACATGTTAAAATAGTTGCATAAACTGACATAAAACACTCAAGTATTTAAGTATTTGAAGAGATATTTCTCAAATGTTCTATTGCGCAAGAAACACATAAATTATAGCGGTTAAATCAATCACATCATACAGGAAATTAAAGCCGGTATAATGGTTCATCTGGTATATCGCCCAGTATGTAATAACATGAAAAGCTGAGGCAGAAACCGTAACCTGTGCCTGATGGGTCATAAGAGACTTCAAACAACTTGCTTTCTGTGATTACACACCTGAGAGGTTAACTGTTCACTGTTTGGATTACTGTTTGTTGAAGTGCCCTGCTGAGTCTGAGTCTGGTCACTAAACTTAGTTGCACCCTTTTTTCCTCAAACAGAGATGACCTGCAATACCATCTCACCCAGTATATGCTTACATCCAAACTACTGCATTAAGAGATATGATCAAATAAAACAGCACTGTGACTGCAAGCATGCATTTGTCAGGGAAAGACATCAATGCAGTGCTACAAATTTAAAATAAACAGGATTTATACAACTTACTTTAGTCTCTACTTGACCATAGCACTCTTTTGTTATTTTTCCTTCATCATGACTCTTTCCTTGTTTTAAATCCCCTCCACCCTCCATCTTTACTTACCCTGGATAATTTTGGCTAATAATCCTAATGGGATCAGGTCTAATTTGGGAGCCTGATCCAAACACCTGAGGATTACAGGCCTTTAAGTATACATACATACATAAATACACACACAGCATAGCCAGCTGCACAGTGTGTGTCAGCTGCACAGTGTGAAAAGTTTCACTTCTATGGCAAAGACATAAAACGCTGCAGTAAAAATAGAACTGTTAATCAGTCTGTTACTCACTGTTGGACAAGCAGTGAGTCATTTATCTCTGCTTTGTAATTTTATAACTTTCTTAACTAAAACTTGAACTCTTCTACACTATTCTATCTCACTCTCTGTAATTACTGACTAGCACTCTCTTAAAGGTTCTTGTTCTTGTTGATGTCATGTTACAAAAAACACATGACTATTTAAATTGTGCTGGAAAATACAGAATTAACAGTTAAAACACTGTTTTAATCTGTATTGTTTCACAAAATCCAGTAAACGTGGAAGGCTCATTCACTGAGAGGATGAAATTACACCTCCGCTCATCCGATCTGAAAGGGTTCCCTACGAGTTACGAAAAAAAAAAAATCAGCAGCCACTATGTTTTATAGAATGATAGTAAAAATATTATAGTATTGATATATATATACACTTCAGTGAATAGGCTACACATCAGTTCAGTATGTGATATGCATAGAGTTTGCTGCAGTGTTAGAGGTCAACGACCCGAGGGAGCTGGCTGTCAGACTGCAGCAGCAGTACAGATCTCTCATCCCTCTGCAGTGCTACAGCATCACTACTACTACTGTACTGGCCCAGGCGCTCTGACGCATGCACACTGCAGGTAAATAAGGAATGCCACTGGCAGCGAGAAGGAAAGAGGAGGGGCCATGGAGTGAGAGGTGAAAGTGGGGGGAAAAAAACAGGGGGGTATGAGGAAAGAGGAGGGGGAACGGAAGAATGGGATCAGAGAGGAAATCGAGGAGGGAGGACAATCAGATGCAGAGAGAGCGACTGGAGGGAGGCGGAGGGTGCAGAGAGGGACAGAAGGTGGCACTGGCAGACAAAATGCGATGATCCTGCTGCACCCAAGCTTCCTCTAAAGGATCTGGAGGCTGGCTTCACAGCAGGACATAAACATAGAGCGGAGAGATTATTTTTCTCCTGTCATTTCTAGAGGGAAACACCAGGAAACAGAGAAGGAGACTGCGGGGAAAGCAAGAGACATTTGTGTCAATTATGTGAAAAAAAAGAGAGAAAATGTGAGTTTAAAGGAGAAAAAGTGAAGGTGAAATTAATGTTTCTTACTGACCCTGTATTATAAAACATACAAAAAGTGGGAGGAAAACAAGGTCTGACACAGGGCTGTAAGTCAAGGCTCGGCCTTACTGGCAATGCTCCTCTCTAGGGTCAGCACACACACACACACACTGAC